CTCCAGGGAGATCTTGTTAAATAGTTCTTAACAGAAGTGTTGCAATTTATTATGCCAATCTTTTCAGTTTTCTGAAGCAACTCCTTCAACTGGATGGAGTTTGCTCTACTGTCCTACTTACTTTACCAATTCACTTAATGATAATTTTCATTCTCATATAAGTATTCCTATCAATCACTCATCATTTGTACCATTGTTCTTCACAGTCGTCTTTACTGAAAGTAAGGTATTCATTTAGACTGTGGACTTAGATTATCTTTGCCTCATCCTGATTGCATAGAAGCTGCATTTCTTTCTTCTCCATCTTCCTTTTTCATGGCTGTTTTTCCATTTTCTATGTATTTTTTTCAAAAGTAAAAATCGACATGACTTCTGACAAAGTTCACTTTACTTATATGATCTCTGACATTAAAGATACACTTTCCTTGACTGATGATTTGTCTTTTCGTTTCTTACTGTCACTTACTCCCACCAGCCTTTTTGGTCATTATCCATCAGCAAGTGGTTTGCGATGTAAGTTCCAGAGATTTTAGAAATTTTTGCTTTAAAGAACAGCAAGTGTTATCCTCATTTCAGTGCAGGAAATTTTTCAGTTCAGTTCACTTGTATTTAAACAAATACTGAATACTTGCCTTTTTGAAATTAAAAGCTTTGAAGATGCAATTTTATTTGTTCTTCTTTTAATTTGAATGGAAGCAACTTGCAATAATCAATGCAAGATTCATTTCAAGGACAAGCACACTTGTTCACTGCAATCCCAACTGTAATTGCATAGCACATGATCTCCTGTTGGATTCATGATTAACTGATAAAGAAAACGGGCATTTGTTACATACGGGATTAAGTGGATTCTACACATGCTTGCAAGTATTTTGCTGTCCAGTCCAAATATAGAAAGTTAAAATTTTCTGTAGTAACAATACTCTGTTGGTGTTTATTTTCCTAGTAATATCACAAGGTCTCCATCTGTATTCAAATCTGTCTCTGTGTTTTAATGAACACAAAACTTTACAGCCTTTCTCTCTTCCTCACAAATAACCCCGAACTGGTCCATTACATTTTATTGCACATTTTTTCAAATCAACATGTACAGTAGTCCTAAACTGAAAAGAAAATACTTTTAAAAATATGTTCTTAAGGAAAAGATGAGTCCGATTTGGTCTGTAATTCATCATTAGCTGTACATCAGCTATACTCTTTTGGGGGAGGGGGGAGAATGTTATAATACGTTCTATTAAATTCTTGGTTTTGGAAATGAATAATTCCTAAATGCATGCTTTATGCTGCAGTATTGACAAAGATAAATTCCAGAATTCATTGAGACGAAAAGCAGACAGATAAGATGGAACACACACTGTATAACTGCTTCCTTTGATGAGCCATGGGACAAAATGCCTCAGGAAGAAATTAATGTAGTTTTATTTTGCTAAACTCACTGACAATTTGAAATTCTTTAACTCTGATTAGCCAGTAGATAAACACCAGCAAGCAGATCCAGGAGAGTCTTTCTTTGAGATACAGTAAAAATAATACATATTCTTTTCATTTTGTAGTAAAAATGCATAACCATAGCTGGTTGTATACTGAGGGTCGTATCAGGAATTCACGGTTCAGTTATGAGTTTACACCTGACTGAAAGATGGCCACAGCTGGTGGGAAACTTGTTTCAGTTAATAAAAAAGCTTTGAAACTGTAGGATTAAGCTTTTAATTTTCTAGTAATTGCTCTTGTGAGGTGTTGGGAAGCTGGGAGGGTTTTGTTGTCTGTTGAAACCTAATAGGTGGTAATTCATTTCAATTATGTGCTTGCCCTGTTGAAATTAATATATACATTATATACATTAGTCAAGGATTTTGTGCACCACACTGATTAGGGTAATTTTTACTTTTTTGAAAAATTCATCAGTTCCCAGTGGCTTTTTTCTCTATTTAAGACAGATGAGGCAGCAGGACTAGAGTCCACATAACATATTCTTAGTTAGTTACCAAGGTGATCAATACAAAGCTACACTATTCCTCAAAAGGAGAAAGGCAATGGAGCAAAACCACGTACACTTTATTCTTCAAGAGAAAAACAAAGGTGTAAAGCGTATTTGCAATGAGGTTGCTGCTTTGGTGTTGTAATAGTTTGAAGACAGAATGGAATCAGAGAAAATGCATGAGGAAATAATACAAATTTTGGACTGTATTTTCCTTTGTGCCAACATACAAAGCATGTGTTTGCTGTTGGAACCAAAACTATGTCAAGAATTGATAAACTGCCTATTCTGCCTTTCAAAAGCAGTAGAGGAAGCATGCAAATAAAGCAAAGTGTATTCAGGATGTGATTTTGTGGGCAATTAAGGTATTATTTCACTTTAACAAGTTTAATTTGTGGGCTTATAAATACAAATTAATCAGGAAATTTCAGAATGACGTAACACTCCAGCTAAATGATCCATGTGCTTCTTGCAAGAAACCAAAATTCATATTCAAGCTAGTGTTATTCAAAAACATACAAGAATGTATGAATTTGGGGAAGATGCAAGAGGTTTGTGTCTGGGCAAGAAATAAACACTTTTTTTGTACTTGAATACAGAGAACAAGTTGATACTGTTCTGATGTCTCATATTTTTGAGCATCTGTTTGAATACACAGAAACCAGGATGAGATACTACACTGAACTCCACCAGCTAAAATGGTGATTAGTAGACTATCTGTCCACCCTTGTATTACAAGTGTATGTATCAAATAAAAGAGTAGCAAGGTTTTCTAGTAAGTTCTTATTGCTTTAAATCATCACTCAGCATTAGAAATAAAACCAGAAATCAATTTTTTATGTAAGTCAATTTATTGGTTCTCTGAAGACACAAAAGCTGTTATTTCAAGTGCAGGCAACTAATCTTGTTTCATTGCCCCAATAACAAGAGATTAAAACATCACAGTCAATGGCTTTAAGGTAGAAAGACTCAAACTTTTGTCTCAGTTATTTGTGTTGAAATTTTCTCAACACCAAGATCAACTGCATATGGATATCAGAAGAAATTTTACGTGTAAGACATAGTACAGTAGAAAAAAGTGTTGCTTATGAGCTTTCTGTAGAAACATTTTCACGTGTTGAGAAGATATACAGATTCAGGAGTTTAAAGAAGATCTAAGACACTCTTAAAATCAATACCATTGCGATTGCTGCACTCGTAATATCAAAACCTGATCTTCTGATAAGATTAAGCCAGTGCCAAAACATTTGTAAACAGGATTCAATTTAGTTTCTGCTGATATGAACTTGAATTTTAAAATGAAACTGCTTTATAGTAAGCAAAATACACTTCTAATAAACTGAAATATTAATTCTGAATGGTAATTCAGCAATTCTTCCAACATTTCTAAATGAATAGGATCAGACTCTGCAGTCAGTTTCATTCCTGAATTCTTACCGTTGTGCTGGTAATAACAACAGAATTTGTCCAATGTTGGCCATTCATTACTTCCCTGTTGGAGTACCACTTTCCTAGTAAAGGTGAAAAGTGAAACAGTGAAGGAGAACTGGGAAATGACTGTTCTAGCCATTTGTAACCCTGCTTTTTTCAGACTTTGACATATCCCTTATAAATGCTGCTGTGAACATGCTTGTGGCAACATCTCCGGAAGAACACCCTCTGCCACCTACTGATGAGTTAGAGAAACACAGAGCATCCAAAAGCTTCATTTGCAGGAGGCTTTATGCACCATCTTTGATCACACAATCTCCTGGATGTACAATACTGAACAATCACCCTGATGGTAAATATAACGTAGCAGATCTTCAGCCTCACATAGTCTGCATGTAGCTTCAACCTAGATGGTACTTGTGTTATGCTGTTTAGGAAGCATGCTGAAATGATAAATGATGAAGGACAGGGGAAGATGATACAGAAGTTTCTGTCTGCCAGTGCTTCCTTGCTCGGGTCTTAAGTGCGAGCTGACATGTCTCCCCTGAAAGAAACTGAGCTAAACAGACTCCACTTAGAGTGTAACTACAGAGTCACAATAAACAAACATTTAGGTGACTTAACCTGGATTTTTCAACAGTGGGGAAGACAAATGACACATAGGAGTCATCCACAAAGACCCTTTCCATATGCAACAAAATCCCTAATAGGTGAAGTTATTAATATGCATGCTAAGATGTCAAAAATAAAAAAAAAACCAACAGGCAGAGCATCAAAACTGAAAATCCATCATCCTGGGAGGCAACATAGAGCAGCAGAAGAAAGGCACCTCCCCCTCAGCAATACTAAAGCTGCTATACTAAACACAAGGCAACATGATACCAGCGGCGCTCTACAGATGGATGGGTGAAGTAACAGCAGTAGTGAAAGAAGAAAAGATCAATGGGCAGCAGCAGGACGTGGCAAAGACAGCAAATGCTGAAATGACAGCAAAGTATCTTTTCTTCTTCACAGACAGAAGCTGAGTATGCCCGATTGCATCCATGGAATACTAATTAATATTGGTAACAAACTAGGAACAAGAGAGGGAGGAAAAAATATGGCATGTTAAACAGGAACTTATTCTTTGCATGTTTGTACTGGAGGTGGAATATCTGAGGAAGATCACCACTGGAGATGCTGCAGGAGCAGGCATTTTACCTCCTGTTCATGTACTGTTGACCCACTGTTGTTTCTGCTTTCCTGAACTACTGGTTCATTTTTCTGCCTTTACTATGTTTCCTTTGAAATTTATTTTAAATATTGAAACTGAGCCCATTTTTATTCCAAGACCACAGGGCAGAGAAGTGACACTAACAGAAATGCTGAGGCATTTGTGGTCAAGAATCATGTGTATCTCACGTTTCCTTATTAAGGTTAGTATTTGCAAACAGTATTTTTTCTGCTTTCAAAATCAGATTCAGCTTTACCACTCAGAATTTCAAGCTGAGAAACACAGATCTGGATCCAGAGGAAAAGCAGTAGACAGCAAAAACTAGCTACACTTTGGGATGCAGGGATTTTCTCACTCAAGTTCAGCATGTTTCAGACGTCACTTGAATGAGGCTCTCACTATCCTGCCCTTCACAGGCTGAGGTGGGCGCCAGTTATCAACCAGTGGGTTCACAGGTTCGTTCTCTCCATTCTTGGAAAGGCTACGGAGCTTCGCCATCTGCAAGGAAGAAAAATTAAAAGTGTCAGTGTGAATTCACCTGGAAGCACCGTGGACATTGATGTCTAGAACAAACTGCGAGACAGAAAAGGAATTTTCTTACGTTATGACAAGCATACTGGTAGAGATTATTGGTAAAGACTGCTTCACCCCAACAGCTAGCACTGTTTCTGTGGATCTTCACACTCTTCAACCACAGAACAGTGCATCATCTGACGCTTGCCTGGGCTTCTTTTGGATTTTTCCCTGACCCACACTCACAATGGGGAAAAAAAGTAGGGGGCCCCTGTGACCCTGCTGGAGCTGGACCATATTAAAATACGGCTATCCGTGAAGAAGGATGCACATCTAAGTCTATGCAAGGTAGGCTGATAGAAAAAGCTGGCCTGCAGAAGTTCATATTTTGTTCTGTAAGGCAAAGAAATGTATGCCAACTGGACTATTAAATTCAATCGTTAATTCAGCACTTAGCCATAGTTCTCCAAATTAATTTAAATTCAGTGTTGCTTTGTTAATTGTTTCATCAGAATGCAAAGTAAATCTGTTCTGAAAACAGCCAAATCAGTAAAAAGGCTATACCCCGCTTAGTGCTGCTGAAACAGAAAATATTATAAATAACCAAAAGTTTTAACCCAATAATTAAAAAGAAGGTCACCTTATCCAGACTGGCTCTCTATTCTTTTTCCTGTGTGAACGCACATTTGAGCTATATGAATACAATTAGTACATTAATTTTTATTAACATTCAGGTTTGCAGGTTCTAGCTAGTTTTATCCCTCTCACTGACAGCTTTTAGGAAGTCAAGATCTGGACCAGCAATTTCTTAAACTGGGAAACCAGCTAAATGTTAGTCTCACTTGCCACTTAATGCTGAAGCAGAGAGAATGAACTGAGGCTGCCATCATGGTTGAATTTTGTGGTTCGGGGGCACTTCTACCTATGCAGGTCTTCAGTATCCCAAGAACACTCCTGCTAAAGCTATTCCAGGAGGTGTCTAGGAAGACAGCCTGATTCTCAAGGTCAGTTTTACAGTCCATTTCACCAGTCCGTTCTGCAGGCAATTTCTCACCGTCCTCAGCTAAAGCTTTCCTCATCAAAAAAAAAGGGAAGGTCACATAGGGCTTGCAAATCATCACACTGACATACTGACACACTGCTGAGAAAGGGTAAAGGAGTAGCAGAACTAGCTGGAGTTTACCTGGTCTGGGCTGACTTCGATCGGCTCCCTCAAGAGAATCCAAGTGATGCACTCCTCACAGGGGGGTGTAGTGAACGAACCATGGTAGGTCCAGTAGTCCCGAGATTTGGGGAAAAGAATTGAAGGATCAAAGTGCTGAAAAGGAGCCTCTTTCCCCTTAGAAAAACAAAACGAAAAAAATTCTCTGCAGTAACTCTAGGGATATGCATCTTAAAAGATATCAGTATCTATGTTATTATAAAGGAAGTAATTAAATATCAAGATTCATGCATGATATTGATCTCCTTTTCTTCCTCTCAAGCATTTGCCCCACAATTAATAATAACTGACATTTTGATTCCATTAATAAATTAAAAGAAATTACAGACTGAATTGTGTGGGACCAAAGCAAATTCGTTATTACATTTTTCTATTCTGGAATTATCATTTTTTTTTTTAAATTTTGGGTCACTTGGGATAAAAGTTAAAGGCTGTGGCACTGCAGGTACTGGTACCCTTTTTATCCAGTAGAACAGTGGCCAGGCATTTATCCCAGATTCGTTACAGTCTTCTCCTCTAGCTGAAGGAATTTAAATCTCCATCTGTCTCCTCCCAAAACTGCGCTCTAATTACATTGTCACAGTGTCTCAATCTTTTTGTTGGCTTTTGTTTCACTTAATGGAATAAAGTTACAATATTTCCTGGAAGAGTACTGGATCCTGAATGTCTTACAACTAAAGGTGAGTATCACCAGGCAAGGGAGAACAGCAGACACCAGACAACATTTCCTGAGAAGTTTTTCTTTTCCACCGAATAGGATACTCAAGAGAATATCTCCACAGGACTGTGATGAGACTTCCTCGTCCCCTCAGGGTGACAAGAACTAAAGAAGAAAGTTCAGTTCTCTACTGGTATTTAGGATGCAGTTCTGGAAAGCAAAATCCATTATTCCTAATTCCTTCTCCTATCACGGAGAATCTTCCCTAGATGGGAACAGAGTATAACCGTACCAAGTGCAATGGGAGGAGCTGAAATCTTTTCCACACATCCTTGCACAAAATATGGGTAGAAAGAATAACATCAAGACTCCAAACATATCTTCCTGACAAAACTATTTTGCAAGTTCAATATGAGTTTTCAAATAACTTCACAAACAAAATTGTTCTTTTTCAGTAAATAGAGTGCAGTGTCCAAGAAACTCCTCTGCCTGTAATGCATCATAGCAATTGAAGCTGCACATGTGATAAATACACCGGTGATACCATCCATTAATCTTCCTGAAAAATAAGTAATCTTGGTAAAATGTATGTGATGACAGGAAAGAAAAAAAAGTATAAAATGCACAATGTAGTTGTTTGCATATGCACCTATCTTTCTCTGCTTTTCTTCAACTGTTGCTTTTTCCAGAACCACTACAGAGAATATCTGCATGCAAGAAATCAGAATTCTATTTGTTTGCTGTTAGACGTTATAAAATCTCCTGTTAGGCAGTCTCAGATAGAATGTAATGGAGTGGATATCACTGCCATCTTGTCATCATTGTATGACACAGTGTTTCATAGGGTGATTGATCAACCTTTTGTTAACTGTGGCAAAGCTCTTCTGCATGTAAATGGCAAAAAAAAGATACGGGGATTATGAGAGAAAGCTGAGTCTGTATCAAGACAGTTATCATTGACACAACAGGGAGAGCAATACGTAGGGCAAAAAAAATGACCTTCAGTTCCTTCAGCAGCAGGAACTGAATTGTATCTGAAGACTAAGAAAAGGCGAAAAAAATAAAATTAATATGACTTTGAGTAAGGAGAGAACAGACTTCAGGCTCAGACCTGCACATCAATGGCAGTACATACATACATAAATTAAATGCAAGAAATTCTGCTAAATTGGGAAGAAAATGCTTACAAAATTTGTAAAATTCAGTCCCGGTGATCTGGTGGTAAGTTCAATGTCAAATAAAAAAGGTAATTTTCTTTTAGCATCATTAGAATGGTAAAGCTATCATGAAGAAGAATTGATGCAGTATCACAATTCTCTGCAAAGAACTCCCTTCTGCAGTTGTATCTATGCAATAAGTATGGACTTTGGTCCTTAGATCATTAATTAAACTGGAAAATAGTTTAGAATGGGTTTGCGATGCTATTTGTGCTAGTATGATAGGAAAACAGAACCTAGGACTGGTGCAGAAACTGTTCTGTGTAATCCCTTTCATAAATGAATTCAGTTCCATCTTTAATAAAGTTTTTAATCTCCCTTACACTGACTGGGAGCTTGCTTCACCATTCCTACTAGTTTCTACTCATTTCAGACTAACTAAATTTCTGGCTGTTTTGGCCACTGCAGTCCTCAGATTCAAAAAGCTTTTAATTTCTTCTTGATATTCGCACACTAGCATATTTTTACAGAGCAGTATCAGTAAGACTATCAATTGTGCTTGCAAGGATTAATACAAGATTCTCTACAACAGGAATACATACAGAATTGAGGACTTATATGTTTACTTAAGTAAAAGAAAGTGTCCTGCTCCACAGCCCAGTGCATCGTGTCTGGTACTACTGTTAGGTATCAGAACGATGCCAAAAAGTGAATCTGAACTTCTGATTTCTGCTTCTGCTGCTTTTCAACTACATCATTATTTTACAAAAATAGTTTTGATACCTTGGTCTTAATGTTGTCGATTTCTTCAAGAATTCTCTTCATCTCTGGTTTGGGAGTTTTTCCAACCTGTAACGCAAAGCACAAGTACTGTATTTTTACATCATGTTCCCCAGTATTTGAAAGAAATGCAGTACATCCCATCTGTCAAGTTAGGCAGCAGTACTCTCAGAGCATCCAGTACAGACAGACACAAAATTATGTGTGTTAAAAGAACATCTGGAACAGCAGACTCAAGTAGCTTGATTTGCAGTTCAAAAATGTGCTGAAGGACTCTACAAGGCATCTCCCACTGTCTGAGGAATAAAAGGCATACTCAGGTAGTGTCATCTACACCCTCCAGGGCCTAGCCTTTGGCTCCTGGTTTGAAAGCAACCCACAACCACTGTGAGATGTATGAGCACGAAGCAAAGTGCTGATAGTCTGAAGAGCTGGAGTTCCTGCAGACACTTCAAATATTCTGCAGCACATATGCAGCCAGATCAGACTTGATGTAAGACATATGATGAGATTCATGTCATGACCTCCCCAAGCTATGGGGTCACTTTATTGCTTGTGTTCATGATGTTCAGCACCTCCAAAAGCTTTGACATGGCTCTGCATCCCAGAAGAGTGAAGACAGCATGCATAAGACATGCTGTTATTGTCATGTCTTCTTCCAAAATACATATTCAATCTATTTTAGCAATATCCAAACCCACAGTCATGGAACACGACAAGCCCAGAGCAAAACAATGGCTCCTACATCAAAGAGCAAGAAGGAAACAGGGAAAGGCGGGCAGATACTACTTACTTTTCTAGACCTTTTAGCTGACCTTAGCATGGTTAATAGGAACATAATGTTGTACTTTATAAGTTGCATTTTACAAGATAAAGCTTTAGCCTAAAATAGACCAGAAGAAATTACAAAGGAAGAATAATTGAAGGACATAGCCATAGGGGAGAATCTGGACAGGTGCTGACCTTCTGTTACTTTCAGTTTAAACTAACCACAACAAAAAAGGTCAGGCTGGCTCACAGTAAACAGAATTAAAATGACATTGGATCTAGCCTCTAGGGGGACACTGTGGCAACATTAATTACAACCACTTACTATTGCTTGTACAAATGCAGTTTACTAGTGATAAAATAATAAAAGGAGAGCTATTGTCCAATATTGTGGTTCAAGCTGAAATGCCCACCTGCAGGTAAAATGATAGCCACATCGCTACGCTATTAGGTTGTCTGCATGTTAGTGTTTCTCGGTGTCCTAGGCCACATGCAGATTTGATACTAGGCTTGCTTTCTTTCTATTAAGGTTATGTTATGAAGCCTCTGTATTTCAAGGTTAAAATGTTCACTGAACTTCTTTTACCATCAATTCTTTCTTTCTGGAGCAAGTTCGTTGAACTCCTTTTGATTCCCAGCTTATGTGGGCATCAGCAAGAGACCAAGGAAGGGAACCAGTCAACATAACCTTGCTGACGGGCAGAGAGAATACCTGCTAGCAGACAAGGGGCAGGAGGAAACACTCTTCCTATGCAGACTGTCCTCCTCACTCAGTACACACCACAGCAAAGAGCTGGTCAGCTATCAGAGACAGCTAGTGTCCCAGGCTTGAAGTTGTGTGTCTCTTGTTCAATACCACCCATCATATGTGCCACTGGTGTCACAAATGGTGTCAGAAGTTGGCTCTGAATGGGTTAGTGCATGGAATCTGGAGGGGCCAAGGACATATGTGATTTCAGTCTGTACGTCGTTTTGAATGTTTTCCTGTAAAATGATACACTGCAGGGAAAAACAATAGGAACTTTTTCCCTGGCACTAGAGAAAGATGAAAAATACAGAAAATTATAAATACTGAGTATTTGTTACTTACTTTCAGAAAAATGCCCACAACAGCCACACCATCAGGTTGTTTCAAAGCTCCAGCAAAATTACCATGTTTTGGATTCCAGTGCACCATATGTAACTAAAAATCAATGAAACATCAGTTATAAATGCAAGAAATTGCCAGCAGCACAATCTTACGAGATTTTACATTAAAATAAGAAAAGTTTCCAGTACACAGTAAGTAAAGGAATGAACATGAAAAAGAAAATTCTTAGTATTTCCTATTCTTGTTCCCATGCTTCCATATGCTCACACTTTCTATAAAGCATCACTCTGCATTTAACTGAAGCATAAAAGAAATAAAATTGAGTTTACTACACAATACATTTAAAAATTAATCAGACAATTGATCTATAAATAGTTTAACCCATGCACGTGACATGCACACATGCAGTGCATAAAACACTTACTGACATGCACTTCATCTCAAGTAGATTTTTAGATCTTCGTCTTATGTAGATAACAGTTCAAGAATTTACACTGAGTTGCGTGTAGTACACGTTATTGTTTTGTATCTCTTATTACTCTCGACACATTGTACTGGAAAGGAGTGGAGATAGTAACCTGACCTTTCTCATTTCTACTTTCAACGATGCTGTATTTTCAGGATATATTTCAAGTTTTTACATCTTCTGTAAAATCTCTGGCTTCTGCATATAGCTAGAGATTCTGCAACCAACAGCGTGGGATCTCAAAGTAGTGTTTGGAACATAGTGCCATACAAAACAATAGAAGTCTTTAATTTTTAACAGCTTTGGGGTGGTTTTTTTTTTTTTAAGCACAGTAACAATTATTTAAAACAACAACAAAATAATTTGTCCTGAATATAAGTTAATGTATTGCTCTCCATTTCTTTTCTCTTGAGGATAAGGATATCGTTGCTAAGGATAAAGGTGGAACAGCCATATATCTTTGGTTGCATTCTAGCACAATTTAATACATTCCAGGCTTTCTCCTCCTGCCAAAAAATATCTGAGTACTGCAATCAAAAGCAAAGTAGAAAGTCTGGGCTTGAACTAACCAATACCTTGGGGAAGCAGAATTTGTCTGTTTAATCATCCAGAGAAAATAGAACACCAACATAATTTGGCTGTGGCTAAGGAATGGGGCAAAAAAACCCACACCATCACTCACAGTCATCTCTGCAATGTTTGTGAACACTGACCCTGCAAAATATTTGCCTGAATTTTCTCCTATGATAGGTGGGCAAAACCCCTGTAAGGTCTGTATCTTGAGTGTATAGGTGTAAGACAGGAAAACACGACCGCAGACTTTTTGTGGGTGTAGATATATATTGTGAGCCTATTCTCAAATAAGATGGAGGAAGGAGGTAACATTTGCTAGTAATTCACTAGCATCAGTAGGGAATTCACTTATATTTATTACTTGAAGAAGTCTTCAGGGCCTAGACCAGCCATTAATTTTAGCAAATTTGGATAATAGTGCAGTAGTTTACATTTAAAAAAAACCCCAAATGTACGTCTGTTTTCCACAGTTCCCAAAAATAAACACAGAGATTTTAAAGCACAGATGTTCAGAAGCAGAAGATACTCTTTACCACTCTGAATCAGTTTTAAGGTGGACCTAATTTTGAATGTCAGTTTACCAAATCTGCATTTAGTGAGTTTTTCTATTGATTAGTAATGCTTTCTGAAACTAACTTAGTAATTCAAGTTATACCAAAAATGGCTAAAAGCCAAAAAGTATCAGCAGAAAACAGATCTTCCTATTTGTCAATAATGGATCACTTTGTCTCAAATATTTTTAAAACACTCTAAAATACCAGCAAAAACTCAAAAAGAAGCGAGTTCCATGTTAGTATATACTTGCAAAGATACATTTGTTGGCAGATGTAACTTATTCCACTGCACACTGATGAATATTCACAAGTTGCATAGGCAGATCTTAGAAAATATCCATAGCTAAATACTTGCAAAAGGAGAATGGTTAATCTGTTCAGATGCACAATCAGTCAAGCTCCAGTTAGTACCGGATACTACTATTAAAAATAAGTCCTACCTCTGCTGCATATCTCACCCCATCTACAACATGCTCAGAGCCATGGTCATCAGAGGAACCCCAATGCAAGTGAAGCTGGCGCAGCCTGTAGGCTCCTGCGAGCGGCCCACCTCGCAGCACTGCAATTGATAACCCACATCAACACTTGCCTACAAAATGCTGGCGTAGACGTTTACTGAATGGGAACCTGTACTTTGAAAGTGTGGAACACCTCTAGCAAATCCCGCTGATTGCAGGGGGGGTCACAACACTCACCAGTTTGCAAGATTGGGGCTGAGTTCTGCTATCGCTCAGGAAGAGCCCTGTTTGATGTGAAAACTGTGGAAGCTGCTGTGAGTCAAGCACAGAATCAAACCCCAGAAGTCCAACAAGCCCCTTTTCTCTTGGAAAGCGGACACACTATAGCTCCTGATGTGGAGAGAGAAGGAAGGTATTCACAGCTGATTCTTGTCATGAAAATGATCTGTTGTGAAATGGTTGGGGATAGGACTGAAATTAACACAAAGCAGACCTCTAGTCCATGAGTGGTGTACCTTTTATAGTTCAGACAACTAAACAGTGGTTGCAGCACGGTTTGCTGCTTCTAAAAAAAAAGGACCTATTTCCCAAAAGTGAGGGAAAAGAGTCTAGGTCAAAGAAAAGTGTTCTTGAGCAAGCAAAAGCTATATTCCACATTAACATTGCCACCAATTAAACAAATTAAGAAGCTATTATTTCTGATGTTCTTAGCCAACTAATGCTGACCACGCATCAGTCTGACAGTTTGCATCAACTCTGACTTTCGAAACATCACACCTGCTCTCTCAGTTTGGGGATTCTTTTGAGCAGGGACTGGTTAGAAGATAAGCTCTCAAATACATTTTTCATTCCTTACCTAAGGCAGGAATGAGACGTGTTTCCTTACACAGAAAGCTGATAATGCAGTTCACAAGTGCAGTGCCAGAAGACCTTGTTTAAATAGCATTCAAGTTTGAACTTCTACCAATAGCTTTGAAGTTCAAAGTTAACATTGAAATAATATTTAAATCCTCTTGTGCCCAATGGTCTCAAATTAATTCTTGATATCATATGTGTTGGAATACCTATACGAAGCTACCAAGAGGTTTAACTTTGCAGTTTCTTTTTAGTTGGTAGGTGTCACAGCCATTGGGGGGGGGGGCAGAAACAAGGCACTGTGTTGAGTTTTAGGCATGCAGATCCTCTTATTTTTTGTTTGTTCATACGTAAATAAATTATCATAACTAACTCAATACAGTATTGAGTAAGCCTTCTGTAGAAGCCTTCAGTGGAAAATATGTCATTATTATTACTATTGTTTCACTTTTGAATATTGGAAAAATAAGGCAGACTATGGCCCAAATCCTCGGAAGTATTTGCTTGCCATTTCACACTGGAATCAGTGGAATCAGAAACTCTCAGGAGCTGAATTTATGTGATCTACCTACATTTGCAAGCTACATCAATATCAGAGTTGGAAATTCATTTAGTGGTCATTTCTTACAGATGGCCCTTTCCAGAGCTCAAATACTGTGAAGCACTTGGAAACAGCACTTTGTAACAGTATACAGGTCTCTCTAGTATAAAATTAAAACTTTTTAACATTCAAAATTTTCTATGTGATTAGATCAAAAAAAGGCTATCTTCAAGCTAGATTTCTTTTTTCCAATTAAAATCGGGTCTGTGACTACTACTTATCCTCAGCTGCTGCCACCACAGAAGCCAACAAATGAAGGTAACAAAATGTTTAGGAAATGCTTCTCATGTGGTTTTTCAGAGCTGTCAAACATTGTATTTAATTCCAGTCAGACACATCCCTATGAAAGGCTTGAGCCCTAAAAAGTCCAGCAGGCTGCAGGAAGTTAGTAACAGCAGCAGGGAGTGAAGGTGCTCACTGGCTGTCCACAGGGACAACAGAGATGATGGGAAGGGGAGAGGCAGGGAGAGAATGGAGGGAAGATGATTTAGAGGATGGGCTGCACCAAGGGCTGCACTCTGCTTGGCCAAATGAGGGTCTTTCTCCAACACAGTTCCCTGGGCAGACGTGTTCTTGAGCAGAGTTTAGACAATGTTCTTGTCTAAACATTTCAGCCTTTACGAAGCTGCAAAGAAGACAGAGCAGAACTCCCATGTGAAAAGGTTCATAATCAATGTACTTCCCATGCTTTCAGTCAAGGCATTGACTTTATGCAGTGCTTGTGGAAGAGCATTCTGTGTTCTAACAAAAGTGCAATTTATGATTTGTCTGAGGCCACTGCATAGAAACTGTGGTAATAAATACTAAAGCATCCTACAAATACATAACGAAGAGATGGTCCCTGTCCTAAATAGCTTAGATTCCATCTGCGAGAGGTGGAACAATAACAGGTAGCTGTAATGGTAAATAAAGGAGTCCAAGGAAACAATAAGCTCATCAAGATAAACGAGAGATAGTGATCTTTCAATGTACTGCAGATATATTTCATTAATTATATAGCTTACTAAGAACAGAATCCCAATACAAATGCCATCAAAGCAGATGCAGAAAAATACAATGGAAGGTAACTCTGTTTTCCACTAATTAGATTGCTTTCCTTCTTGATAAAGGACTGATCAATATTGCATGCTCTCTAGATGTCTTCACATTATACGGTATTGCGAATTTAGTATTCATTTTGACTGTTGTTGCCTGTCTGCATTCGGAACTACACACTGATACAGCTCTGGAATCGAATTTTGAACAATTTAACTTAGAGAACCAAGACTGCTCTCTCTCAATTAAATAACAAAGCCACTTCATAGCTTTCCAGAAGCTATGAAATGCTATTTTCCTAAATGCCATTTTCACAACTTTTTCCAGGCTGTGGAGGACCTGAAGAATTCCCATACAAACAGAAGGAATCAAGGTCAGTGGGTGGAAAGATAGGAGTTTTGTGTTCACAAAGTGCCTCAGGGCACGCACTGCACCCCTCTGGGTGACACTCTCTCCCCTTACACAAAACCTGAGGACGCTGTGTCCACGCTGAAGAAGGTGACGTGGGCAGGAGAAGCCCATCTTCCATCTGAGCCTGTATTTCAGGGCTACCCCAGCAGCTGCAGCCTCCCTGTCCCACCTGTGCTGGACTTAAAAATGGACAGATCCACCAGAAAAAAAACCTCCGGGAGCACTTTTTAATGTACCCAGATGACTTTTCTCTGCCAATCTGCATAGGTACCGTGGGACGCGTTTCGACTCCCAGCGCTTCGCAAACCTCCTTTCCTAGTGACCCCCAAAACCCCAAAGCGCAAACCGACCTGATCGGTCGAAAGTGTCGTCGAAGACGACTCGGCAGGTGCGCCCGTTGTTCAGGATGGTTTTCGCCGCCCCGGGATCGTAGCTGGCGTGCCACGGGGAGAGACAGCTGTCGTGCCGCACCTCTTTGCTGTTGATCTCGATGGGCGACTGCTTGTCCCCCTTGGCCATGGGGTAGTTCTCATGCCAGCGCTCGGGTCCTGCGGGGGTAGGGGGGGAGGGAAAAGGCAAGGAGATGTCGCCCCGGCTCGGCCCCGGCCCGGCCCCCCCTCTCCCCACTCACCGTTGTCGCTGTCGTAGCCCCACACGGACTGGGCCATGGCGCCGCTGCCCGCGCCCCGTCCCTCACCCTTCACCCGCGGCTCTGGCGGCGGATCGCTGCCCTCCTCCCTCCCTCCTTCCTTCCCTCCCGGACCCCGGGGGCCTTTTATAGATCGCCGCGGCCCCGCGTCCTCCCCTGAGGGGTGGGCGGGCAGGG